GAATTTTTCATGCAGATTTATTTTCCAGGTTTACAAAGTTTGATTTCCAACTACAAATATTGGAATTATTTGTAAACATCACTTTATAAGCTCAAAATCATTTTGAGCCTAATTTGAACCGGGGGCTAAGTCGGGGGCTAAGTCGGGGGCTAAGTCGGTGGCTAAGATCGGGGGCTAAGTCGGGGGTAAAGTCGGGGGCTAAGTCGGGGCGAAGTCGGGGGCTAGTCGGGGGCTAAGTCGGGGGCTAAGTCCGGGGGCTAAGTCGGGGGCTAAGTCGGCGGTAGCTAGAGTCGGGGGGCTAAGTCGGGGGCTAAGTTCGGGGAGCTAAGTCGGGGGCTAAGTTCGGGGGTAAGTCGGGGCTCATTCAGCCTAATGCCTGTGCTGGGGGGGCGCTGGGCTAGCCGCCGGGTCGGCTAGCCCTGCTTGCTGGGCGCAATGCCTGTGCTGGGGGGGCGCGGGCTAGCCGCCGCGGCTAGCCCTGCTTGCTGGGCGCAATGCCTGTGCTGGGGGGGGCGCGGGCTAGCCGCCGGGCGCCTAGCCCGCTTGCTGGGCGCAAATGCTGTGCTGGGGGGGCGCGGCCTAGCCGCCGGCGGCTAGCCCTGCTTGCTGGGCGCAATGCTGTGCTGGGGGGGGCGCGGGCTAGCCGCCGGGCGGCTAGCCCTGCTTGCTGGGCCGCAATGCCTGTGCTGGGGGGGCGCGGGCTAGCCGCCGGGCGGCTAAGCCCTGCTTGCTGGGCGAATGCCTGTGCTGGGGGGGGCAGCGGGCTTAGCCGGCACGAGGCGCTAGCCTGCTTGCTGGGCGCAATGCCCTGTGCTTGGGGGGGGGCGCGGGCTAGCCGCCGGGGCGGCTAGCCCTGCTTGCTGGGCGGCAATGCCTGTGCTGGGGGGGCGCGGGCTTAGGCCCGCCGGGCGGCTAGCCCTGCTTGGGGCGCAATGCCTGTGCTGGGGGGGCGCGGGCCTAGCCGCCGGGCGGCTAGCCCTGCTTGCTGGGCGCAATGCCTGTGCTGGGGGGGCGCGGGCTAGCCGCCGGGCGGTAGCCCTGCTTGCTGGGCGCAATGCCTGTGCTGGGGGGGCGCGGGCTAGCCGCCGGCGGCTAGCCCTGCTTGCTGGGCGCAATGCCTGTGCTGGGGGGGCGGGCTAGCCGCCGGGCGGCTAGCCCTGCTTGCTGGGCGCAAATGCCTGTGCTGGGGGGGGCGCGGCTAGCCGCGGGCGGCTAGCCCTGCTTGCTGGGCGCAATGCCTGTGCTGGGGGGCGCGGGCTAGCCGCCGTTTTGTTAGCATTAGCAGCTAGCATAGCAGCTAGCATTAGCAGCTGCTTGCAGCTAGCATTAGCAGCTAGCTTGCACTACATTAGCAGCTAGCTTAGCATTAGCATTTTTTTTTCTTTGGTCAACACGGATGGGGTGGCCTAGCTTGTTAGATTAGCAGCTAGCATTAGCAGCTAGCATTAGCATTAGCATTTTTTTTTTTCCTCTTGGTCAACACGGATGGGGGGCTAGCTTGTTAGCATTAGCAGCTAGCAGCATAGCTAGCATTTTTTTTATTTTTGGGAAAACAAGACAGGGTGTGAGCTGCTAGCATTAGCATGTATTGCATTTTTTTTTTCTGTAAACGACTGCGATGGTGGCTGCGCTAGCTTGTTAGCATTAGCAGCTAGCTTAGCAGCTAGCATTTAGCAGCATAGCATTAGCAGCTAGCATTAGCAGCTAGCATTAGCATTAGCATTTTTTTTTTCCTCTTGGTCAACACGGATGGGTGGCTAGCTTGTTAGCATTAGCAGCTAGCATTAGCAGCTAGCATTAGCATTAGCATATTTTTTTTTCCTCTTGGTCAACACGGATGGGGGCTAGCTTGTTAGCAATTAGCAGCTAGCTAGCATTAGCATTAGCATTTTCTTTTTTTTTTTAATTCTTTATTGGTGAAAAAAACACAGACAAGCAGAACACGGGGTGTGGTGGTAGCTTGCTAGCATTAGCAGATAGCATTAGCATTAGCATTTTTTTTTTAATTCTTTATTGTGAAAAACACAGACAAGCAGAACATAGGGTTGGGGGTCTAGCTTGCTAGCATTAGCATTAGCAGCTACCAATAGATTGCAAATATATTTCAATTAGCACTGATCATCAGAATTAGCTTCTTTTCCACAATAATAACATTGATTACAATTATAATGCTAACAATGATATACAATACATAAATGATGATGCGGCAAAGTACGTGTGCGGGTACAGCATATAAGACCCCCCCAACCCCATTTTCATTAGCTCTAGCATTAGCAGCTGGCTTACTGGCATTGTTCATTGATGAATATATATATATATATATATATATATATATATAGTGTGTGTATATATGTGTGTGTATATATGTGTGTATGTGGTGAACCTGGATGAAACTAATGCGGTATAATGGAACAGACCTGCAGTAAATCCTCCTTCATGAGGATTATAATGTTCAGTATTTACTGAATCTGTTTGAGAAGTGTTGGTTTATTTTAATGGTCATTGTGGAGGTTGTAATTGTGGTAATGTTTAACTGTACTAGGATATACTGAGAAGTGTTCCTAATATTTTGTCAAATCTAATTCCTATAAATGGGATGGACAAAATATTAGGAACACTTCATTATAGGGTTAGTTTATATACAGTGGTGTCCAAAGGTCTGAGACCACTTTCCCATGTATCCCCCCCTTGCTCCATAGCAGCTCTAGTATCGCTGAGTCTCATTTACAAAGGAGAATAAAAGGAGCGGGGTGTCTCCTCAAGTCGTCGTGTCTCACCTATTTCTCCTCGTGAATTTTAGGAGGAAAATGAGAAACGGCATTTCAAACAAAATAGAAATTAAAATGAAGCTGAAATGAGAATCACAGTTTTGTCTCCTGAGCTGTAGAAGAGCAAAATTTCTTCAGGAATTTCCTAGTTATGTGCCTGCAATGCAGTATCCTCAAAGCCATGTATTATTTTGCATGCTTATTCGTCTTAGTCATTTTCTGTTTTGAAATTTTGGAGCTCAACTAGTCCCTCAGCTTTGAGAAAATCCAGACAACATATATATATTCTTAGCGATTCAAGTAACCATGGCAACATAAATGCTGATAAAAGGTGAAAAAATTCCCATTGAGAATGAATGAGGAGACATCTTTGAAACGACCAAACCCAGCCCTCTTTGGCGCTCTACTGCTGCGTCATACTTCAACACACACGCACTTATTGACAGAAACACAAACACCATCTCCACGATTCGGATTAACCTTCAAAATAAATGTCTGAACATGGTAAGAGGGAATTAGTGGCTCTGTTGTACAAAACCTTATGCAATTTATACTGACAATCACAGAAGCACAGACTCTTTCAAAATAAGAGTCTCAAAAAAGTAAGAGGTAATGTAGGTCATAAAAGTTCGATCTTAGAAGCGATCATCTATATGGGGATATAGTGGTATAGCTTGATTGCATATCAGCTTCTGTTAGGGCATCTACATGTGTGTGTATACATGTCTTGCTGTGGATGTGGGGACAAATTTGTGTTTTAAACCATCAGTGTGAGTTTTTGAGGGACACCTGCAGTGACTGAGGTCAGTGTCAGGATGAGTCTCTACGACATGAATGAAAATGAAATTAACGTCCTTTGTGCAGATTGAAATGTGAGGAGTGAATTACACGCTCCAAGCAGCCGGAACATTCAAAATTTCTCCAGGAATTTTCTAGTTATTATTAATCAGTATTTATGAAATCTGACTAAAGCCCAGAGTACATGGTGATATTTCCATTTAAAACAGCACAATTAGCACAACTATTAGCCATTTAATTACAATGTGTATAATTTCAGTAAATTACATTTACATACAGTCAGAAAGAAAATTAAACTAAAGTCATTGTTTAACCTTTTCCTCTTTTCTCCTTCTATTCATATTGTTTTTATACAGGTATATGTAGAATAAATGTTTTTATGAGCCCTGATTGATTTAGAAAGGTAAACATGAGATGATGATTATTATTATTTTGGTATAATTCTCTAATCGAGCATTTTTTAATTTTCGACAAGTTATTTTACAGTTACATTATCTCCAGCCTAGGTGTCCTTATATTACAAATTACTGTCATTCTTATAAATAGGAATTTAATGTTGAATGGTTGATAATCTCCTGTAGTTGCACATTAAGGGCTCTAGATGTCGGTGTAGGGCAGTTATTTTCCCATATGCATGAGCACGTGCACACACACACACACACACACACACACACACACTCTGTAGAAATGTGTCTTCAGAGCTCTGTGTCAAAGCCTGACCTTTGCAGCTGATCTGAGTTCCTGCAGCAACTGAACATTTTCTCACTGAATCTACATTTAAAAACATACAAACATCAAACTGATGGTGATGTGAGAGACACGTTGATGTGTGATGTTACTTCTGTTGTTCTGTTGTTACTGTTACTGTAATAATCATCATAATAATTATTATAACACATAGCAAATGAAATACTGAACTTGAATGCAACGTTTTGCATGTCAGACTCTTCCATCAGCACTTGAACGCACCCTGACTTCGTTAGTGGAGGCCTTAAAGTGTGAAGAACTGACTAGTAATAATATAATTATGATAATATTTAATTCAAGACAAAGTGGAATTAGTTGATCATGTCTGGCGGGACATTTTTCTAGCATTACTTCTTCCCACGCACAAATGGTTTAGTCCGACTCTGCCTGCAGCACTGGGAAGAGAGGAAGAGGAGGAAGGAGGAAGAGGAGGGAGGAGGGGTCCAGGGGAGCCAGATGATGCTGACAGTGAAAGGAGGAGGAGGGAGGAGGAGGATCATGTCCGCCGGCAGCAGCAGCAGCAGCAGCAGCAGTATCAGCAGCACCGAGCTGCTCTCCATCCCATGTGTTTGGAAGAAGAAATAAAATAATGGGCTCGGATCCAAACATGTGCTGCTAGAATCAGAAGTGTGGCTTTCTTTTCTTTTTAAATCACAGTTTGGTTCTAAATAAACAAAAGACCTGGAAATGCTTCCCTGCTCATCAGCGGCGCAGATGGAGGGTTGCGCGGAGGAGAGGGACGCGCACATGCAAACAGAGGTAAACCGATAAAAAAAATTAAAAAAAGACAGGAAACTGATTAAATGTTTCCCTCTAATCCTGTTTATTCTGCGTTTAAACCGCTTTAAATGTGTGTGAAAGGTGCGTTCAGATGGGACATTTTTGCAGGCTAATTTCAGCCGGTGTAATTCGCCGGCCGGCTTCTCCTGGAGGTTATTGTAGACATCAAAGAGCCGGACCCCTCCCTAAATTTCTCGCCATTTAACCGGAGAGAAGAAATAGTGCTCTGAGTTTCTGTCACAGCTTCATTTTCTGTCGGTTTCATGCTGAAGTTGCAGGGTTTATTAAATGGGTCTTTAGCCTTTTTTTTTTTTTCTTCTGTTGTTGAGAAATGTGCTGAGTGTAAAGAGGCTGGCAGTTTTATTCTGGGCTGTGATGATGTCTGACATCATGCTTTTAATAGACAGGAAAAAAAAAAAGCCTCGCCTCAGGTTCGAGCTGATACGTGGCAGAAATAGTTTGAGTCCATCGATTTATTGTGAAAACCAAAACCTGCATCCCGCCCTCACCTGCCTCAGATCTGTAATGTCTTGGAGGATTTTTTTTTTTTACCTTAAACGCACCACTGCAAAGAGAGGACATGATGGAAGGTGAACCCCAAACCCCTTCCAGTAGTAGTGCCTTGCTGTAATGAGTCGATTTACACAGGGAATTGAATGCACCATCCAGTTAGCGTTTAGTGGCTCCGCCCTTTGACCTCCAAGGACAGAATCAAACCTGTACACCTGCAGTCTGTGGGCGAGTGCCTTGCGTCATTCATTGAGTTAAATAGGGAACTGAACCCTCAACCTTCACAGGGTTTGTTAGTGCCTTGCTCCCCTGATCTACTTGCAAAGGAGGAATAGAGCTCACAGCCCTGCCTTTCTCTACCTGCTGAGTCACAATAACATCACAATGAAGTGAGTTAGTAAGAATCGAACCCTCAGCCCTACGAGTGTGTTAGTGCCTTGCTCTACCCAGTGACTTACACTTACAGGAATGGACACTAACCATTTCCACTGGGAATTCAACCTTTAACATTTTAAAGCTTTGCTGTAGTCACCAAATATCAAGGAGTAATTTCTGTCTTGACCTCTGATGAACATTCAAGAAACAATCAAACCAAAACCATTCTAAACTCAAAGGCGCTTGCACTAGCTTCTGCGGCTTTCAACCACATTTCATGGTCTTCATTCAGTAAATTGACCTGGCTCAGCTGTGTCATCACGTGACTCCTGACCACCACAATCAAAACCTCTCATCACATGAGCGAAGGTCCACACTCAAGTCAGTTGATGAGACACCTGAGCCAGCTCCATTCACAAAATGAAGACCATGAAATGCAGCTGAAAGCTTGTAAATGGACTTTTGAGTTTATATTATTTGGTTATATAAAATATTAATTGTTTTGATAATTAATATATTTTTAATGTCATTTTTTAAAATTCAAAATGCCAAACATTCCCCATAGATCCAGTTTTTTAATTTTTTAGGATGTTCTTCTTCTCTTTGTTTTTGTAGGTCAGACAAAAGGACACTACTTCCTGTTTTATGGACCAAAAAAATGAATTAACTAATCAATAATATTTTCATAAGATTAATCAATGATAAAAAAAAAAGCAGTAAGTTTAGGCTCTTCAGAGAAACAAGTGAAAGTAACCGAAATGAAAAAATATTTTGCTCAGTTTGTCTGGCTAATCGCTAATGGAGCTAAAAAAAAAAAAAAAAGGAGACAATGACTTCAGCTCTCTACATCCTGCCATGATGGAGGGCAGGTCCACTCCCCAGTGGATAAATTATTCAAATAATGTGCTGCTCCAACATTTCTCTTCAACACCCACCCAAACAAAAAGTAGAGAAAGCTAGCATAAAACTTCTAGCTAACAGTAGCAGCACAGCTAACCTAGCTTAAGCAAAAAATGATAGCCCACCAGTTTTTTTTCTGTTATTGTACTTGTTGACTTTTGTGGCTGAAAGAAAATGCAGAGCACATGTCAAAGTTTGAGTTGTCATCTTGATGTACATATATTTTCATTGTTGAATTCAGTTTTGTTGTTGCATCGATGCACAGCAACAAAGAACAGGAAAAAGCTGCAAAGCTAAGCTACTTGCTAAGTGTGTTACCATTGAAATGCTGCAGACTACAGTTTTGTTTCAGCTGCAAACGTCTGCCGTCACTGCAGGGCTCTGTGGGGAAGTGAGGAATAGTGTTTTTATTTAAAAGAAATGTGTAACCGTGCCTCCCTCGTAACTCCCTGAGCAGCATGGGGAATTGAACCGCTCACCCTGGCAGGCGGCGTTTTACTGCCTTGCCTCGCCACGTGCCGGTGAACCCGCTGCCCTCGCTGCGTTCCTCAGGGAAATCTGAGCTGACAGTGTGTGAGACTGCAGGTATAGAGCTGGGAGAAAGTGGGCCAAGTGCTTCCTGCTGCTGGAGGAGAGAGAGCTGGATGCTGAGCGTCCTTTTTGTCCTTTTTTATCTCAGGATATCGGCTCGGTTTTGTCGCAGTTACACCCTCTCAGATTTTAACCCTTCATATCTACGGCCCCATCACAGGTACTGGTGGTAAACTGTAGGAAGTTCAATGATATATTAATATTACTTACTATAAATAACTCGTGTTGTCCAGGCTTTGAATTCTGCTGAGACTTTTTCATTGGTCAGCTTGGTCTCATGTATTTACTGATGACCACCTGAACCCAAACACCTGGTAAATACAGTGTGGTCACCTGGGGGATTTTACAAGGTAGGCTTTACAAGGGTACAAAGATACCCTGAATGCATCATGCATGCAAAACTGGATTTGTCGGTCTGTTATGACTCACTCAGATCCTGAATCCGCTTGTGTTTCAGTTCTTCGGGCCATCAGGGAGTCGACTCACCTGCACTAACCACCTGATTACATCATAAGCTGGCGGCAGTGAGTCAGACTCCCTCTCTCCCCTGGTTTCCACCCTTTTGGTTTGTTTGGTCTTCCAACATTAGTTACTTAAAATAAGACAAGTTATAGTTACAGGTCATGTGTGGTCTTCACTCTTTCGGCCAAGCTGGGTTCAGACACATGAATCAACGCTGCTACAGAGTTTAAAAACATTTTGTACATCCTTAAATCTTAAATTTCTCTTATACCACTCAAGATGTAAACATGAAACTTCATAGTCTTAGATGCCATCAGGAGCGTTTTGTCTTCTGTTATTTAACATCGCTGCTCTGACCTGATGGAGGAGGGACAATCAGAGGGAAAGATTTTAAACATTAAGAAGCAGGAACTGTTACGTTATGAGTCTGATTTTGATGAACCTTCAGTGGCTGAAGCATCTCGTTACCAACTGGGCCGCGGCCAGTCTGCATCATTTATAGGATCCTTTGTGTTTAGTTCTCTTCATTGCATTGCTCCAGAATAACTGAAATAACTTGGAGATGTTCATTATATATGTAATGAATGATCGTGCTTGTCTTCTGGAGGTTGTCTGAACGGAGACGGGACGGTTTTCTTTGTCTGTTTACTGTTGCTTTCGCTGCTCAGGAGGTCACTGACCGCTTTACGAGTTCCAATTACCATTTTAAATGAAGTGCATGCAGAGCCCAGCAGCACTGCAGATGCCCTGTTAATGACTGTGGTAACTCAGAGGGAGACTCTGAACATCTCGGTCCTACAAAGAGAAGAGGCAGAAACTTCAGGTCTGGTCAGAAATGAGATGATGTCATTCTTTTGTTATCGTGAGAATAGACGGGAGAAGAAAAAATGGACGACCGGGCTGAGAAGGATTCACCAGGAAGAACTCAAATAACTTATTATTTTCCCTCTCGGAGAGTGAGCACAGTTATATATTGGAGGGAGTGTTGGGGATTAATGGAGAGATTAACCACAATAAAACATAAAGCTGTGCAGCTTTTCTACTCACTGAGGTACATTTTGTGTTTTCGCTGCTAAAGTTTTAAACCTGTTTAAATGCACTATGACGACAAATTAAAGCACATTTTGATCATTACCCTGATTAATACTCAGCGGCTGACGTCAGTTGATAATTGTGAGGAGCTGCTGTTGCTGGAAGTCTTTTTTTTTTTGTCATTCTAAATTACCATTTGAATTTTATTTTTAATTTCTTTATAATATTCTCACTTTTCCTAAATATAGAAATACAGGTGAGTTCCTGGATGATGTTATTATACTGTACGTTTATGTTTTTACCACCAGTTTTAATTATTTTAACTTTGTTTTTGGGGAAATCATGTCTCTGTGTCTCTGAATACTACATTACCCATGATCCCCAGTGCTACTAGAAGCTACAAATTCAGAAAGCTTTGCCTTTTCAATTTACTCCTTATATTTTGCTATGTTGGACAATTGACAATTATATTGAATCATAAAAGTATTGAATTATTAACCAATACATGAATCAAGACCTGCACAGATGGTTCTAACGACACTTTTCATCTATTTTACTAAACAGAAACACTGTAGTTTGGGAAGCTGCAGCTGCCTTTAGTTCTATGTTATTTCTCTTTAATACGTCCAACAGTTGAGTCGCCTGATCTACTGATACCGTGTTCCTCCGTTAATCTCACTGTGTTGGACGGCTAACTTGTTGCTCTTGTATTCCTTAACTATCCCACAATGCATCCCACAACTTGTATTTTTGGCTTGTTCAATATCCAAGATGGTTTAAGTGGCTGAAAGCTCCAGAAAGTAACTTGAACCCTGTTTGTGTGGGGTTGTTTTGGAGGGAAGTACATCACCGAACGTTAACATTATCTAAGAGAAAAGGAGCTGGATTTTTACTTTCAGAACCCTGGACACCCAAAATATAGATTTGAATTAAGGTCATGTTTTTATGTGAGTGTGACTGACTGTCCATAGTTTGATCCACACTGTGTTTTTCCAGCCAGGAGCCAAAATGAAGTTTGTCCTTGAGTGTTGATGGCGGGTTTGCACTTGTTAACCTCAGTGACGTCTGCAGCTGCTGCTGCTGTCACCCGGCTTTCATTCCTCCAACATCCACACCAGGCTCCACCACAGCTGCTCGTCCTAAATATAGCACAACAAGGGATACTTACAACAGATCCCGTGGATGTGAAAATGAGTAGTTACGGCCCTTTCTGCCTTTTTGTAGGGCAGCCGTCAAGTCAGCAGAAGCAGAGAGAGTCGGTCCGTTATCAGAAGTGAAGGGCTGTCGCTGTTATTAGGGAGACGACGGAGAAAGGCGGTGCAGTCCTCAGCAGGGAGGGGGATCAGGCAAAATGAATGTTTGTATGGAGAAGATGCTGAGCAGGAAATACACTTGTATCACACTTTGTCTAAAGTCTCCTGAGACACCTGACACAAGTGTTAGCTGCTGAAATATCCGAATCTATCATCGCTCTGTCGCTGGAGTTAGAGATGATACAAACTCTCTCATGATGCATTCACAGGCTGCATGTTTAGGTCAGAATTACCCAACTTGCACCTTGTTGCAGTGACGTAGAAGTGCACCTCAGGTTGTGTTGGTGCGCTGTGACATCACTGGTGGGTGTGTTTACAGGTGATGCTGGGTGTGGTCACAGGGGACTGAACTGTAATATATAGGTAGCATATTTTCTATCTGATTGTCTTGAAAGTAGCTGATCTTCATGTGTTCATGACTGACATGAACTGCAGGAAAGATCAATTACTCATTGTTTCAAACGCGCCTCACTTTGAGGTACAAAGGGTGAAATATTTTTGACAGATCATCGCTACGAATGATTAATTCATACCGTCAAGTTACTAATTCACCATGGTGCCCGACGTCCACAGGGTTAAATGTAGGTGTTCAGTGTGTTGACAGCTGGGGCGGGAGGTGAAGGTAAGGTGAAGGTAAGGTGTTGGCAGACTGACACCTGGGAACCTGGATGAAGTGATACCAAGTACAGTGGATAGACAGTATCTAGGCCTTTGTCAGACAAAAGTCTTTTATTTTATACTTCAGTTCACATTTGAAACGTTTGAGAACTTTTTGGGTCTTAGTTATGGGCTGTACTGTGTGTCTCATAAGTGTCCCTGGTACCCAGTGTCAGGAGGCAGGACAGATGTGGGACAGATGTGGGACAGACCAGAGGTGCAGGGACAGTGAGCTGGGAAAGTTTGACGAAAGCCATTGTCCATAAAGTCTCTAACTCTACCGATGCTTTTTACCTGAGCTCAGGTTATCTACTGATACCCACTCTGATAGTGGAGCTCTCTTTGTTCTCCAAAATAAAAGTCTTTAAACCTCCCTCATGATCATTTTTATGTCAGGTAACGTGAGGTCAGAGGCAGCAGGGGCTGAATGACCGTAATCATTAGCAGAAACAATTCATTTTTATAATCACATTTAGTCCAGAACAGCCTGTGACATCAGTTTCTACTGCTCCGAAAAACACAACACAATCATTCAGAGGGAATGAGTTCAGTCGTTATTTATTTTAGTAATTAAACAGCATGAAATTGTGGATAAACATGAATTAATTGGATGTTTTTAATCACACAAACTATCTAATATTTTTCTCTCATACGCACCAGACTCTGTGGTATATACAGTCATCTGTAGTGTGTGTGTGTGTGTGTGTGTGTGTGTGTAACTGCACTCTGCTGGTGTCAGTAACCTGTGTTGACTCTGTAGTGGAACGTGATCTAATGGCTTCACTCTGACTCCTGCAGTGCAACAGACTGACGGAGGAGAGAGACGAGGCCGAGAGACAACTCAAGCACATCAAGAGAGGTGAGTCCCGCTCCCCTCCGCCTCCTCCGCCTCCTCCATCATCACCTTCAAACTCACACAATTTTATTTTGAAAAATTACAGCCCAGACACAGACGACAGATTTCTCACCTGTAAATAAAAATATAAAGATTTAAAGCCACACCAGTGGTTCAGCACCAAGGATTTCTTCGTTGCTCAGTCAGACACATCACTTAAATAAAATTGACTATTGACTAATTTCCAGTTAATTACAACCTGAGTCTTATTTTCATGGTTTTATTCATAATTTCTTTCGGTTTTGATGATAGAAATGTAACCATCAAGTTCATTTCCGAGAAACTTATTTGGAAGAGAAAACAACGTCGAACATTCACACACAGTTTCTCCTCTGATTCTTTTTGATTTACCGTACTTACCCTAATTTGTGTGCACACGGTTTTCCTGTATAATGACGGATTATCACCAAGGTTTCAGGTGTTTTACATCATCTGGATGAGCTGTTGATTTGTTTCCTGGTGCTTGAAACTTTCTTTTAGTCGCCGCTTTCTTAGAAACTTCAGAACTTCAGAACAATGGAGCAAGAAATATGTCGTACAAGAGGTTAAATTTACTGAAAAGACGCCCTCAGCCTTTTCAGGTTTCATGTTTCTCAGACTCGCACATCAACCAGACAGCTGACACCTCCGCTTCCTCCCTCTCTCCTCCCCCCGCTCACCCTTTTCACACCTTTCCTCCTCACCTGTGTCGAAATGATATCGCCAACACCTGGTGGGTTTAGCAGGGGAGGGCAGGGTGTCCCTGTTTCCATGGCGACCGCTAGGTTATTTAGCCAACCGTAGAGAAGCGTTTGTTATTTCGGGGGGGGGGGGTTTAACCTCCGGTTGTTCCCAGGTAACTGTTAGAAACGAGGCTGATAGCTGATGACTCCCGGCTCCTGTCATGACCATTCACAGAGGTAAGAGGCTGCACTGAAGCTGCTTTACACCTTATTGATCTGGAAATATCAACGTTTTCTAGACGTCCCTGGCACTGTGAGGTGTTTGGGATAAAATCCTCCATCTGGTCTGAGGCACGTTTTGTTCCAGCGTCTGTAGCTGCGGGATAGAGACTCGTATGGTTACACAAGTTCTGTGTAATATCACTTAAACCTGAGCTGAGACCCTTTCATCTGTTCCAGCAGCTTGAGTTTAGACATTACAGGCCGCTGTGAGGCTACCACTCAGCACTTTTCCCTGAATTAGTTAAAATCACTTTGGAAATCCAGCCAAGCCTCCAAATGTTTATTTAGTCATTTTATTAGGGACAGAGTACATTAATTAATTTTGCTATAAATGTGCAGAGTTTAACCAAAAGACTGTTTCTCTGTGGCTCCAGGACAGATGTTGCATAGTCACCAGAGGCCTGAGCGTGCAGAGTGATACAGAGTTAATGTTAATGTTAATAAAAAAGGTTAAAGTAGATAGACGTTATACCTGGAAACAATCATTTTACAGTTCCTAACACTACATGTATATGTAGCCTGTCTACTTCATGCACATGATGGATTTGAATATGAAAGTTTTTTCCTGTTAGAGAGGAAGTTGAAGGCTAATATGTTCACTTTCTGTTGAAACTGTTAATTCACGGTTATTTGTGGAGACCGCAGTTCGTGGCGCTGCTGAAGTATTTTATATTATTATTGTAGAATTATTGATATAAATGGTGCAGGAACCTGCAGCTTCACCTCAGTTTAAATTTCCTGCAGCATGACAGCGAAAGAAACACAAGGGGCTGAACCTGTGCGTGGGGGAGGGTGGGGGAGGGNGAGACCGCAGTTCGTGGCGCTGCTGAAGTATTTTATATTATTATTGTAGAATTATTGATATAAATGGTGCAGGAACCTGCAGCTTCACCTCAGTTTAAATTTCCTGCAGCATGACAGCGAAAGAAACACAAGGGGCTGAAGGGGTGGGTGGGGGGGGTCCAGGTACAGGTGAGACGATGAAACACGATCTAAAGGAACAGTGCGGGTAACAGATCTGTGAGTTTGATGACTTATCAGACACCAAGACTCTGAACTGCAGCTTATAATATTACAGGGAAGGATTCTGCAACAATGGTCGTGAGGTCATCACAGCTGCTTTGTTCATCAGAACCAGAATCTGGTTTAAAGCCAAGTAGCTTTTCAACACAGAAGGAATTAGCTTTTGTGTTTTGGTGCATTACAATAAACATAATGAGAAGAAAAGAAATAAAACCAAAGATAAAACAAACGAGCACTGCAGGTCAGACTGCTTCAATTTAAATAGAAAGATTTAACATTAAATATTAGAGAAAATATAAATACATATATATAATACAAATATGTACGCTGTGCAAAAAGACTGTGTGCAGTAGTTTGTTTCCGTGGCAGCTGCGTCACACACACACACACACACACACACACACACACACACACACACACACACACAGCTAACGACGGTCCAGACAGGAACAAATGTTTACTGTACGTCCTTCAGGCGACTGACTCACAGTCGTCAGAAAGATGAGCTGAGGAAAGAGACGCCAGCTGACGATTTGTTGATGTCTTCATTAACTATCAAATGTCATGGAAACCGTCCACTGGAGGCCAGGACGGATTCACATGGAGACATGAGCCTTGATTCAGTGTTGAAAGAGGAAGAAAAAGAAGATTGTAAGATGAACACATGAGCAGATCGTCCAGTCCGACCCTGACGGCAGAATTCAGTGTCAGACGAATGTCAAAAACTCGTCTGCACCAGCAAAACTGGACCTGAACCCTTCAGAGTCAGCAGAAACTCTGAATCCTCCTTTTAATGTCAGGCCGCGTCACTGAAGTCTTTCATTCATTCACTCATTTATTCATTCGCCGCCGCTCCCCAGAGGAGACAGCAGTCGCTCTTGTCATGTTATTCCCATGAATTATTAAAACCTCCTGCCATGAATTATTCAGCAGTTGAAAATGGGGGGAAGGACAAGTGTGTGTGTGTGTGTGTGTGTGTGTGTGTGTGTGTGTGTGTGTGTGTGTGTGTGTGTGTGTGTGTGTGTCACCACTCCTGCCTGACTCTTTATCCATTGTGGCCCTTTAAAAAGGCCTCTCTACCTGCTCCTCCATATTTGATGTCCACATTTTAATAGATTTAATGAGGGCGACTCGGCTCGTTGGCAGGTTCTTGATTTCAGCCTCGTTTGAATCTCAAAGGCCGGACTGAGTCCAGCACAGATTAACTGACTTCAACACAGTGACAACATGACCCGACCCGAGGGGCGGGGCCGTGAGATGATACACCCGCCTCGATGACGGACGCCCCCCCCCACGCGCTCACGATCACGCTGAGGGTGAACTTCATCCGTGACGCATCAGGCTTGTTGAGAGGTGATTTTGTTTGTGAAATAAAAAGACCAACGTCGGGTGGTTCCATGTGATATTTCCAGGAGACGTTCGCGCGCCCCCCCCCCCCCCCCCCGCTAGTTATGACACAATTTAACTCAAATCTCTATAAAAGATAAAATGTAGTGATGATATTTTATATCCTAAAGGTCATTTATTCAACACTGTAACTCAGGAAGGAGAGATTGTGACCATATTTCCTGCAGCTTGACAGACAGACAGAGGAGGTGATTGTAGTTTACTATAGAAGCTGCTGCATCATCGTGCTGCTCCGTACGAGGACGGTTTACCACAGTTGATGCTCTGCACTCTAATAAAATACACCACCTGTATTTCTTACTGTCAGTGCACGACTGTGCTCCAGAAAAGCAGCAACGTTATGACGTTCTACCGGGAATTAATGACGAATCTCAGCAACCATGTCTTAATTTCCTCTTCCGTCTCTATGGTGCATCCACGTTATATGATGTTGTCGTGTCTGTTTCCTCCTGAGTGCAAGATTTGTAATAATATTATTTAGATAACCATCATTCTTAGATACTAGCAGCAAGAGCAAATGACTGATGATGAAAAAACAGGAAAGTTAAATTGCAAAAACTTGTATAAATCCTGGAGCAAAGGGAGGTAGAAGCACTGATGTGCATCTTTTTTAGTTTACGAGACCGTCCTCAAATGAAAAAGCCAAAAGGTTTCTTTGCCTTTAGCAGCGAAACCGAGAGAGAAGTTAAAGTGCACGGCTGCACCCTCCTGATCTTTTCAGCTGGTAGGAAGCAGGCGGAGCCGACGTCTCACAGTCTGTAATTTATGCTTTGTATTAAGCCAGAGCAGCAGAACGAGCCATTCGCTCAGGAGCTGAGTGTCAGACATGCCTCTCAGGATGGGATTTTAATAGAAGCCAAAATCTCAGAGTCTCACAACAGATGCAAGGAGAGACAAATAAGTTAGAGTCAGTTATTTTCATATAAACACACGATAAGAAACAGGGAAGGAGACGCAGAGGAGCTCCCGCAGGAAACCGGTGAAAATATCTTTCCTCAAAGGCCAAAGAAAGGAAATAAAATGACAAAAAAGAGCAACAAAAATAAATTAAATACAAAAAAACAAAAGAAGAAGCCAAAACTCAAGTATTGCTTGTTACGGAGGGAACCATCAGTGCTGTGTGTCGTCTAATGCTGCTGCGACGGAACATGTAGCTGGAAGCTAACTGTGATACCACTCAGCTTTACAAATGTGGTCGCCTGTAGCTCCGTTGGCTTACGCAGCCTAGTTACTCAGTCTACTGTGCTCAGATAAAAGCCCGTGGCAGCACTTTCCCTCAATTCAAGTGCCGTCGGAAATACTGTAATTACACGCTGAGAGCACACGGAGGACCAACAAGCTGGTGACATGTGAGCGGGAAAGTGTAATTTTCTCTGACAGGAAGAAAGGTTTCATGGGTTCAGAGGGAAGAGTCAGTGTGTCAATGACTAATTATAACGATTTTATTATTGTGTTATTGTTAAGGACTCCGTGTTAACAATTTGTGTTGCAGTGTATTTCTTTTTAGATTTTATAGAGTCATATGTTTGTGTTTTATGATGAGTAAAGACTGTGATTGATAACCGGAGTGAATGTTGGACGTTGCCGGTT